TATAAACTTCCGTCGTTTTTACTACCTTAGAAAATTTTGTTTTCATTATTATTAACATATCATTGTGACCATTTCCTCATTGGTAACACGTGAAAATTTTCTTTTCTCCATTATAAAATATTTTCCTCTTCATGTAAGTATTTTATACTTCATTGTATTAACTATTGTTATGTTGTTCTTCTTTTATTGTAGAATTTTAAAAAATTAGCTGATGATGAACCTATATAGGTTCGAAACATGTACTGATTGATGGCTTCACTGTTCTAACATCTGAGGGTGATAATAAATTGTGGAGACGACTTTTGAGTTTTTATTCTTCGCAAGTCTATTCAATCTGTTGACTTCCAATACATTTTCTTATCAGTTCTTTTGATGCTGTCTCCCAATATACTGGCCTGATTATATTTTATCTAATGCGGCAACTGAGCCGATTTGGTTTTAGAGGTTGGCGGAGGGTAATATCTGTCTACCGTGTCTCAGAAATGTACTTGAATTAGCAATGAACAGCACAAAAATCGACGAATTGCCAAGATAAGGAATATTTCAGAAAATTCGTTTCAAAATTATACTCGAACACAGCTTATAAACACCAGAACTGCAACACTTCACTTGACGTGTGTTTTACAAAACAAGGTGGCGTCATCTCTTTCATCTCTTCAAAAAGTATAATTTGAAAATGAGAATCTCAGTTGGTAGATCATAGATGTCTCGAAACTGTTCGGACTCTTTTGATTTTTTACCTTTTTCAGAGTAATACTTAGGTAATACTGTTATGGAATGTACAACGTATCACATATTGAGGATATTGAGATAACGTTTCTTGAACGCATTTTGGACATCTGACGGACTATAAAGTAAGTAACCCTTTCATTCATGTCAATCAAAATTTCAAAAAACTCACTCACCCTAGCGTTTTGGTCGAAATCAATGGCGTCTTCAGGGACAGGAACCCGTTGAGCCTCGATTTCTTTTCCTGGGACACCTCCACTTTGTTGCTGGTAACCACCTCTTGGGAATCTTCTTCGTCCTCATCCCGCTTGCGCCTCCTCTTGTGGAAGCAATAACATGCAGCGCCCAAGCCAGCCAAGAGGATAAGCGCAGCAAGACTCGAAAATACGGCGGTGAGAATTATGTCTCGCTTTTGCATCATCAGCTGAAACAAAAAAACACTCATTGAATAAATTATTTCCTCCAATATGACTTGATATAACTTTTCACATTTTATCATTTTTGAAATAACTATGAATGGTAGAATTACAAAGTTTCTTCTACACTATAGTTTCTCTGGACAATAGGGTGCCGGTATCAGTATAAATCAAATCAATCCAAACCAAAATGTGATTTATTGTTGATAAAATCTATTTGACTAAGTGTTACTATTCTAAGAAATATAATACTCGTATAGATTCCGCCTAAAGTATAACCACACTATGGAACCGCTCTAGATACGCTATCGATTCGCTCTCGGTACAATCTCGCTACCGCTTAAGTTCAATCGCTTAAGGTCAATCCACATCATGATACCGATCCGATATGCTCTGGGAACGATATCGCTTTCGCTAAGTATCGATCCACACTATACTGCCGCTCTCAATACGGTCTCGGTACGATATCACTACCGCTTAGGGTCATAATTTACACAATGATGCCGCTCTCGATACGGTCTATGTTCGATATCGCTACCGCTTAAGGTCAATCCACACTATGGTCCCATTTTCGATACGGTCTCAGTACGATACCACTACCGTTTAGGGTCAATCTACTCTATGATGCCACTCTCGATACATTACCGCTACCGCTTAAGGTCAACTCACACTTTGGTACCGATCCAATACGCTCTGGGAACGATATCGCTTCCGCTTAGGGTCGATACATAGTATGTTGCCGCTCTCGATGGTCTCGATGCGATTTCACTACCGCTCAAGGACAATCCACACTAACCCTACCAATTAAGGTCAATCTACCCCATGGTGCCGCTCTAGCTTCCGCTAAATATGGATCCATACTGTGGTGCCGCTCTCGATACGGTATCACGATATCACTACCGTTTAGGATGTATCCACACTATGGTGCCGCTCTCGATATGGTCTATGTTCGATATCGCAACCGCTTATAGTTAATCCACACTATGATACCCATCTGATACACTCTGGAAACCATATCGCTTCACCTAAGTTTCGATCCACACCATGGCCTCGTTCTCGATACGGTTTCGGTACGTAATCACTACCGCTTAAGATCAATCCTACTATCGCTACTACTTATGGTCAATCTCCCTTATGAAGCCGCTCTAGCTTCCGCTTATGATGAATCTACCCTATGGTGCCGCTATGATGAATCTACCCTATGGTGCCGCTCCCGCTACGGTCTATGTTTGATATCGCTACCGCTTAAGGTCAATCCCCACTATAGCACCCATCTGATACACTCTGGAAACCATATCGCTTCCCCTAAGTGTCAATCCACACTATGGTCCCGTTCTTCATACGGTCTCGGTACGTTGTCGCTACTGCTTAAGGTCAACTCACATAAGCTCTTGGAAAGATATTGCATCTGCTTAGTGTCGATCCATAGTATATTGCCGATCTTGATGCGGTCTATGTTCGATATCGCTATCGCTTAAGGTCAATCCACACTATCGCTACCACTTAAGGTCAATCTACTCTATGGTACCGATCCAATACGCTCTGGAAAAGACATCGCTTCCGCTAAGTGTCGATTCATAGTATGCTGCCGTTCTCAATACGGTCTCGGTACGCTCAAGGTCAAACCACACTATGGTACCGCTTTCGATACGTTCTAGGTATGATATTGCTATCGCTTGAGGTCAATCTACACTATGGTGACGCCCTCGATATGGTCTTCAAGTATGTTCAAGCACTTAATTCGTTTTTTAAACATAATTCATGATCGCCGAACACGCAAAAACATTTATGACTCTCACCAACAAACTGAACATGCAAAACAGCTGAAACTGTGTACCAAAATAAAAACTCTAATCGAATGTAAGTAGCCCGCGAAATTTGAACATTCACGTAGGTTATGAACAGCCCATGCATATTAGGCTATGGTTATGTTAACATGCGCATGAACCAAACATATTTCTTAGGTATAGCCTTAGTTACTAGTTATTTGGTTTATTTCTTAGGTAGGTATTGTTGCATACACTCGCTATGAGCTAAGTTCTATAGGAAATATAATTGTTATCAAAACCCTTTTCGAAATAAAAAACTCAGAATGTTCACTTGTTCACTATGTCAACTAAAGGTAAAGAAAGATATATGGAATTCAAGAGAAAGGGATAAGAAATGACAGGAACTGATTAGTTTCGAAAATTCAAAACAGATTACCTGGAAAAATCCTACGGACCTACCCCGAATTCAGCAAAAACTCTCAAAACGAACTCATCCATTACGTCTTTCAAAAAATTAAGTTTTACAGTTCATGTAGTAGCACTTACCTTCAGTCCCGGAAAAACTGGTATGACCCAACTATCACAAATTCTGAAACACTCATCAAAATTTTCAGCCATAATGAAACTATGAGATTCCTGAACATTTGTAAGCAACAATACTTGGCAAACGGCAGGTAATTACGATGAACTATCACAAATTGGAGTCGTACGCTATCTCCGAAATTATTCCTAATATGTCGATAAGCTCGAATGAAATGGCATATAAAACGTTTTATAAAACTGAGTTTGATAAAGACACCTGAAAGCACATATATGCATGAAACAATGAATGAAAACGCTTTGCTAACAACGAGAACTGTCGAACTGTGGCTATTACTCGTGAGAACTATTCCAGTGAGTAATTGCCATTAATCGCGTGTAGTACTATTCTATTCTATGATAATACTATTCTTTTTCTATGACTTGTAACAAGAATATTTTGAAATGAGATTCATTTATTATGTATGCCAATAATATTATAAAATATCATAAGAAGTAACCTACAAAAGAACATTCAAAAATATTTCCCGTTTTTGTTATTTGATTCAATTTGGAGTAGTTCGAGTGGTTAAGAAGAGATGCAGTTGGTGATGGTGATAATTTGATTATGGTTCGAAGATTTTGGTAAAATTTAATACGATTCAAGTGAAAGATTTGTTTTTCAGTATGTACATACGCGACATATTCCGATTCTTGCACCATCTATCAACATAGGTACAAAGCTGGGTCAATCTCATTTCTCCGGTCGAGAATTTTTAATAAAACAAAAGCGAAATGGTAGCAACACCAGCGTTTTTATGCATCTTGGTGAAAAAATAACAGTTGACGTATTTCAGGGTTTTCCTTGAAAATTGTTAGTAGCACAGATAATTAATATGTACTCTACTTCTCTCTATATGAAAAAGTAGTCATTTTACGAACCACAGGAATGGAGAAATTTGTTCATATTCAGTATTAAATACTGGAAATAAGAATTGTACAATTTCATACGTATAGCAGTGACATCTACTTGTCAATCCCCCTATTCTTCAAACCACAGCCGTACATTTGACGATTTCTACTCCCGACCGTGAAGTTGTAGTTGATACCTATCGCCGTTAGATGTCACAACGAAACGATGTTGAATAGAAGTAATAAGTTCTGTAATAGTCTACCATTGTATTGTTTGAAAAATTCTAGTTGTCTTGAAAGATTATGGTTTTTATTTTAACATTATTTGTGAGCCACGATATTTTAAATAAATTGTATTTATAAAAGAAGACAATTACTTTGGGATTTTAGGATTTTGTACGTCTATGACAGAATGAACATGCGCTGATGAACCAACTTGTATTGATTTTGTCAGATTTCCGCAGAGAAATTTGCTCTGTGAATTCTGAATTCAGATATAGTAGAAACGAGAACATATAGTCCGCATTTACGTCTGTGCTGCGGTAGTTTTTCATTGGTTTTCGGGTTTTTGATTCCGGATGGCACATTGGGTTTCACAGGGGTGCTATATCTGAAAGCTGTGAATTGTGTTTCGTGCTTCATAGTTTTATGTTCTGTGAGTAGATTTAAAATTTGAAATTTTTGAGGTTATGATGACAATAACAAATAAACATTGATTTTTCTTAGGTTTCATTGTAATGAAGAGAATCTCGATCTTATTTTAATTTCAATATGATTAATTAGTTTTCGTTTCATAACTATAAAAAGATGGCAAGACCTATAAGTGCTGATATTGGGGAAGGTGTCAAGGAATTAATAAAGCAAATATCTGGCTTTGAAGTAAGAAAAACCACTGTAGAATTGAAAATTGTAAATATATTTACATCATTTACAGGAGGGCTCTGAACCATTTATCCATGTACAAAAATACTTTCTAACTAAACTGAAAAATTCTGATACAATGTATTTTCTCAATAAACGTGATGTAGATCGAATTATGTCTGGGATGGCAGAAAAATTCAATTTTCATGGATTTTTCAACCAAGCAAAAGCATTACAAGATGCATATGACAATTATATTCCGCCTGATTTGCCAAAGGATTTTCTTTCAAATCGTCTAAACATTGTAAAATTTCTCCTTTGCATGTCGGAGAAACCAACCAGTAAATTCCTCGAAAAACCTGAGGAATATGAAATGAAGCCAGAAGAGGAGGAAGAAGAAGTAAATTGGGCAGAGTACCTTAAAGAAGGCATTGAAAATTGGGCCCCAGATTTCGATGAGAGCAGTGTAAGTTGCATGAAAGTTTCAGTGTTACAAAGAAGATAATCACAATTGAAAGACAATAGATATGCAGTATATTCAGCTGTAGTTGGATAAATACTGAAACAGTATTGGAAATATTGGTTTTGATGTTTTAATCTAGTTTTGCATTTGATATTTGATTCTCATTCAAATAAGTCATCTTGAATATTCTTTGAACAACACATTTTCTCATTAAACCTTTACGAAGAACTCTCGAGTCAATTTATACTTGTAACAAATATCTATCTATATTCCAGACTTGATGACTCTCATGTATGTGGTGTAGTCACTTTTCTGAAGTCTAAGCTCGATTCTATAAACTGTTGAAATTTCATTTCGAATGTAATCAATTCTTATAACATCTGAATTGCACAACACTTTTCAAACTTTTCTCAATTTCAAGGAATACTCAGAGGATTCTTCAGTTGGTGATATTTTCAACGAGTTGGGAGATGAATGTTCCAGTTCTACACATACACCTCAACTCATAACGAGTACCGAGAAAGATGTCATTGTGAATTTGAGAGCAAATAGAGAAGAACTGCTGAATACAATCCAACATTCTTGGTATAATCAGGACCATTTTCACGAAGCTCCTTTCAGCGAATTGAAGGAAGCCAATGTGGGAATAAACTGGTGATTTCATCATTATAATAAATATTGATTTGTTAGAGGGGTTGCACTGGAGTCAAATAAATATTCAATCTAGCTATATAAATGAAGCGACTATCCCCAAGTTTAACTACTCAGGAAAATGTATTGGGTTTTATTATGATCAGAAAAGTGGGAGTGACAAAACTAGCACATCAAAACATCAAAGCTCCAAAAATAGAAACTGTTTTCAGATGCTAATCCATGGTAGATGTAAATTCTCTACTCATAAATAAGAAATGTTAATGAAGAACATCCTACATTCTCTTTTTAGATTTAAAATTGCAATAAAAAAATTACAATAGCAAAATTCATTTGCGAAGTGTAAGTATAGTATGTCTCTGTGCTTCACATATTTTATTCTAAATATCAGCAGTCTCCTTATGTATTAAGGCTAAAAATTGAATCTCTGGTATGTAGAAATTTTTTTGGAGCTATTGGTGTGTTATTTGAAAAAAAAAACATTACCAATATCCATGATAATATTTATACAATTTTCGAACTAGAAATTTTATTTAACTGTTTTACATTTTATATAACATAGGTAATAATTACAAAACTCAATTAGATGAATGATGAAGTTACAATGTGATATCACATTTAGGTAAACCGGTAATTTATAAGTATGTACTTTGATTATTGGTATTTTATGTCAAAACCTAATTAGATAAATGAGTAATTTTGGCTGAACAGGTAGATTTTGAAGAAATAATTACCATACAATATTTTATTTATAAAGATAATAATACTTCTTTATTCATCATAAAAGTACAATTAAAACAGATAGAAAGAGGAAAAGAAAACAAAGTCTTTCCCGCTGTCTGTCCTTTTGTATAATTAGATCTTTAAAACTACGCAACAAATTTTGATGCAGGTTTTTTAATAGATAGAGTAAGCCAAGAGAAAGGTTTCTATGTATATAACTTGCATAATATAGTAGACACTTATGATTTTAGAGGTTTCTAATGTGATGTCATAAATGAAAATATTTTTTTGCGCGTACATTGCAAACGCTGGCTGAACCCTAGGAGAGAGTAAAAAAGGGATTGTAGAATAGTTTGATGTACCAATCCAACTGAAAAGCTACTGTGTAGCTAAACACTTCCTAAAAAAATTTATAGTGTTAAACTTGTATTGTTATCATGGATATTGTTATGTGGGTCTGTGTATTCATAACATCTACTAATTACGTCATAATAACGTCATATTTACGTCATAATTACGTCATAATTACGTCATAATTATGTCATAATTACATCATAATTACGTCATGAGTCTTAATTACTTATGGTAAGGTATCAGAACATCTCATCAGAACAAGATACCTTGTTGTGATGAGAAATATTTGCAAAATGTCTCACAATATACATATTCATCCGAATTATGGAAATTTAAGGACGTAACTGTGATCCATGTCTAATATCTGATACATTTAATTCTATATAAAGTTATTTTAACTGTTTTCATCAACTGAATTGATGTAATAATAGGATCATTCTTTATGAATCTCTTGGGGGAGAAGTTTTCAGTTGGCCGAAGATGATTTGACAGATTTGTTGATACTTCCCTCAACCATTCTGAAAAATGTCTCTATCTTTGAAAATATCCCCATCATGATACCATTCAAGGACTGCGAAATCATTACTTGATTTTCCTTTCATATCTATCTCTGAATGATTACTAGCAAGGTGTTTTACATGGGCCAACATAAATGAGTGGGAGGAATAGACCTGTTAATTAGACACCTAGTTCTCTCATTCTCTTCTCCCTTAAATCTTATCTCTGTGGGCGTGATAGGTTAGAAGGAAAGTAAGAACCCAATATGAGATATGAAAAATAAGATTAGACAAGTTTCTCACCTGATCAGATCATTGCCTTTATGCTTTTACGTAAGCTGCAACGTTTGTGTTAGTCATGCTTTCAGTGATAACTCATTTGTTTCGTGTTTTCAGGGAAAATTTCCTTGAGAAGCAAGTAATGGGACTCATAGTTATGCCGAAGGTTTCTGTAATTTCAGAATACAAAGTTATACGAGAAGTTTTGTGGCAGTTATGGACTCCCCACACGTCTGCCGTTTTTGAATTTGAAGGAAACACTCTCAAGCCCAGGGAAAATGTTACAATATCTAGTACACGTTCAGTAAGTGAATGTACATTTTTTCTTGGAAATCTTTTATTTATAATAATAATAATAAACGTCTTTATTACTACAACCACAAAATAAATTCTAACTACATTTGCAGCTATGCAAATAACTGCTAAACTGTTATGATCTCTGAACCGTTATTTTCAACTTGCCTGGACTCACGGCTATTGCATATCTCTCTTAGTGCAACTTTGAGTTCAAAAATACTCCATGATTTATATTGGTGTAAACTTTTCAAGGACTCATTGAGATTGTGTCTACGCTGGCTTGGCTGAATACGTTGTTGGACAACATGTAAGCGGCTTCCTTGAATTTTCTCCTAACCCAATGTTCCTCTCTGTGCAAGATCTCAGCTTGGGACCACTCGATGTTGTGTTGATGGGTTCTATTTTTACTTGTATTTTATTTCACTGTCATCTCATTTCAGGTTTATTTTGCTTAATATAATTGTTATTTTCAGCTATTCATTTTTAATTCTTCTTTTTTAGTTGTTTCAGGGATTTCAAATCATTTTATATAGTAGACAATGGAAGTCCGAACTAGTGAAATTTAGTAGTGACAATGACTATAAAGAATGGATAACTGTTAATGAAACAAAAAGAAAAAAGTGTATATTATCTACAGATGCCTCTTACATATGCTGTTTGTTCAAAAAATGAGATGAATTTTCGTTTTCCTTCAAAGTAGTCCTGCTCAGATATAATACACTTGTTATTTAATAGAACTGGTTGATACTTGATGATAATCCATATTAAAACTAGTTTATATTGTTGATTGTATGATTTTTCACTATAAAGGGTTTTACAAAAACTGTGACAGGTGTTTCGCTATACAATAGTTTCCTCAAGCGTTTACGCTTGTGAATCGTATCTATGTAAATGTGAATCATATGTATGTAGCCTGTGAAATTTGAACATTTAGCTTTTTTCTCGAATAGTTCACGTATGTAAAATGCAAGAGTCCTAAATGAAATGAGTCTTTTGCCCCATGGACAGTGAATTTCATAGAAATCGCCCACTCTTCACCAATTTATTCCCCAAAATTGATGTGAATTAAAAGATATCCTTCATGGAAAATGCTATATTCAACTCGAAGGATTTTTATGAATATGTGGTTTTGTACTTTTTTCAGAAGTATAATAATGAACAAAACGAGCCAAAAATTTTTTACGAAAATCAATCAAACACTCCACAAAATGCAGAAAGAACAATGAATACTTGAATTTCAATCTCGTTGTTTCAGATGACTTTGGAAAGTTTCCTGCAGAATCAGTTCATTCCTTTCATAGAATTGACAGAGTTTTTTCGAGACTTTTCCAAATCTTTGGACGTCAAGTCTGATGATTACATCATGTCAGTTCCCCAAACTTTCAGGAGCTACAATAATTCGCTACTGAATATTATCAGGCCTATTTATGTGGAATTATCAAATCTGGAGGACAGAATCCGAGAACAAGGTGAGAAAAACAAAACAAAATAATTGGAGACATTTATAAATTTACCATATTCAGAATCAACATTGAATTTATATAAACCAAACTATTTATTGGACTTAAATACACTCTATAAACTTAAAATCAGCTGTTTCAATCATTCTGTTGAAAGTGATACAAAAAATCAAACTTGAATTGTATTCGATTTGGACATATTCACAATCATGCCACAAGAGAAACCAAATTACTATCAAAAATTAACAAATTTTTGGAAAAAAGTCGATATATCACGATGGGATCATTATATACAATTCAACTCCAGATAAAATAAAGAAAGTCATCTAAAGGAACAATTCGTTGGGTCCAGTCTAAACTACACTTTAGGTTAATGAACTGACACCTATCAGAAAACAACTACTCCCCTGCGGTTGTTTACCTTGTTCACAGGCAGATGGGGCGACAACAAACCTGTTTTTGTTGTCAGCTTCAGCCTAGTTCAAGGAATGATGCTCTGAAGGAAACTGATTTTCAATTATCGGAAATCATCGACTTTATTGATGATAGACTCTACCTTGCACTGACGAGTGGCAAACAGCCCGAAACCGGTCTGCAAGTGTGTTCCAATAATTGGAAATCTATTGCTGCAATTGTATCGCCAACAGCATATGCAGGAATAACTTCGGTGAAGAATCCTGCACTGACAACTGTTGGATATATTCCAACGCCCTTCGCGGTATTAGCCAGGGGAGTAGTTGTTTTCTGATAGGTGTCTTCTGATAGTCCAATAATGTACAGTGTAGGAAGTTGAGACTTGCGTTAACGAATTGTTCCTTCATATGTGAAATAAATAAAAAATAAAGAAGCACTATTTCATTGCAAAATTTAAATATCAATTGAAAAAAGAAACTTAATTAGTTGAATTTGATAGTTTGCATTATTTTTCCTATTACACTTCATTTCGTTTTCAACATGGGCCATCGAAAACTTGATATGGAGGTTTTGGGTACTACTCTTGCAAATCCGAAAAAACGCTCAGACAGGTCGATTTTTATTGGGAGGGGGACAGTTTTTCCCCATCTACAGTGTCGTCACTTCAACCCCGGAGCAGAGGGGTGAGCAACCCTTGGAATTTTAATAGAGAACAGGGGGCGAGTAGCTCAGCGTTTGAAAGGTCTTGGAATTCTCTAAACAACGGTGTACATTTTTTTAAAATTTTGACAAACCATATTAAATTTAGAGTTGAAGTTTCATGTTAGCATATGCTCAAAATGGACAACTCCACCCTGTATATGCTTTATAGTTAGTTATAGTCCATAATTATGAGCATTTAATGTTTCTTGGGACAATAAACTTTCAGTTCCAGCTTTATATTTTTTAAAATTGTGTTGCAGTTTCAACTTAATTTTTCTTTTTTAGAATCTACTTATACTTTGCTGAATCTCGCTAGAGACTTGGAAGAAATTTTGGAACCCATGTTTCTGCTAAAAAAAATACACAACCACATTGTGATCGATTTCAAAAGAAACAGTCATTTGACTTGTGCATCAACTCTCTTAGCACGTCTTCACGACAGCATAGAACATTCGGAAAGCAAATTGGATCAGGATTTGAGACTGGCTCTGTACCTAGGAAGCTTATATCACTACTTCAGCTTGATTGATTCGTGGTTGATGAAGAATGATCTTACTGATTACTCGTGCGAATTTTTGATCAACAAGTGAGTTGGTATGCATATGAAGTAGCATGTATATGTTCGGATTTGGTCAGATGCTTGAGAGCCTCATCTGTTGAATAAATTGTTACTTGGTCCTTATTTTATAGCGAAGAAAAATCCCGGAAAGGTTCTATTCAATTCGAGTTTTCTTTTTTTTTTGATGTCTAAGTTGAAGAAAGTTTTTGTCAATCTGCTGACTTTTCGATTTTATGAGTCACTTTTTCTGTTTCTTATGAAATTCTATACAAAAAGTATACTGTTTTCTCGAATATTCGGAATTCAAATCATAATTATTGTTTGATATTGAACTAAAATAACTTGGGCTCCTATAAAATTAGGTATCATCACATTTATGTATCACGAAATTCTCTATAAAAAAGTTTCCAAATTTAAGCAAGAGTTCTGTTGTTTGGGAATCTATACGATACTCATTTCATCCTTCTCTGCAACGATTACGTCACACGTTTCTTTCTTCCACTCACTAAAGTGTCTCTCTCTGAAACAATTACCAACAACGGGCGACCTTGAAGTGGGCTCGTACCGGTGTTGTTTCTCTACTTACTTGTTTTGGATAATATTTTGAATTCAGTATATTGAAGGAAACGTACAAGATCTTTGATTTCAGAATTTAATGATAAACAATTAATAACTCATTTCATTGTCATGAGATATTTCAATTTTTATACAACATGAATCTAATTTGAATACCGATTGTTTGAGAAACCGTGAGATAAATTATTCAATACTAATTCTAGTAAAACAGGTAATTTATAAATATGTTTGAAAAGTAATTTGAAAATTTATTGATTTCTAGAGATTGCAGCAGGTTTGATTTTTGTCCTTCATTTTCTATGTCATAGTCCATATTGAAATCGTAGTTGGTCTCAAAAAGGTGGCATACTGTTAAATAGATATGGTTTTTTTCAGTTCAAATAGTCTTTCATGTTCGGATATTCTCATTTTGAAATTTCTTGAAGTCCTTCCTATATAAACTTCCGGGCTCGATCCACATAGTAGTTTGTGGACTTCTGATTTGTTATCTCTGTTTATTTTTGACTTGTTGTTTTTGACTTATAATGTCTACCCAAGGATATTTTACCTGTGTTCCTAAATGTGGTATTGTAATTGTTTTATCAATCTGTTTTGCCAGAATTAATCATTTATCTAATTAACTTTGGTATAAAATTCCAATAATTAACAGTTTTACCAATGTGATTTGCAATAATCAGTCATTTATTTATTCAACTTTTGGCAAATAATGCCAAAAATTAACAGTTTCATCTACCTGTTTTGCCAGAATTAATCATTCATCTTTTGGCATAAAATGACAGTAATTATCAGTTTTTTCAATTTGTTTTGTCAGAAATAATCATTTATTCAAATGATTTTTGTCATAAAAAAGCAATTTTCAACATATTTGAAAATTACCTCTTTTCCTAGAAGTATTGTGACTGTTTTACCTATTTTGCCAGAGTTATTCATTAATCTAATTAATTTTGGCAAAAAATGCCAGTAATTAACAGTTTTATCAACCTGTTTTGCCCGAATTGAACATTTATTTAATCAACTCAACAGTTTTATCAACCTGTTGTGCCAAAATAAATCATTTATTCAAATAACTTTGGAATAAAATGCCTTCATTTAATATTTTCATCAATCTTTTTGATGTTTTAATCTAGTTTTGCATTTGATATTTGATTCTCATTCGAATAAGTCATTTTGAAATTCTTTGAACAACACATTTTCTCATTAAACCTTTANGATATATGTAAACTAAATTTTGATCTGTATGAAGAATTGGACAAGACTTCCAAAGAGAATGGTGTGATGAAAATCATCAGAGATATGGTCCTGCAAATCGGTCGGAATTTGCATCTACTCCGATTGCTAGGAAAGTTTTCCTTTATCAATGAGTCGAAAGGTGAAAACCAGTCAGTTTATACTTCTGGTCATTATATAAACATTCTTATTCAACAGAAACTATTCATGAGGAATTTGTTAGGAAAACTCTGGAGGGACTTTGTAAATTCTTCGATGTTGATACAAAACCATTCATAACAATACAAACTGCTGGAGATTCATTATCAGATGATGATGATAATGAAATGAAATACAAATATCCCGTGGTGTGCACAGAAGATTGTAAGAAACCTACTGAAATGGACAAACTTGAGAACCTCGTTGACACAACTGATGGGTTTTTGATGTATGCTTTTGAGGACTATTTCATTGAACAGCCAAAGAAAATACAACCACTGCAATTGACACTCTATGAGAAGTAAGCCTATATTCCCCGAATGTTTTTAAAGGAAACCAGTTCCGTATCTTTTTCAGACAATTTTTTCTAACTTTATAAATTACACACACAAGTTTGTGGAGATCGAAAAGTAGGATGTAGTTTATGAAATTACTATTGATCTTCATCAAGTAACGGCCAAATCAATCAGAATTTTTTTCAAATTTTTTTTCAATTTTCCATAGTCTAAGCAGACAATAATGTCAAATGATATACAGATCAACAACAACATTTCCTCCAATTTCAAATTTTTTCAAGAACATATTGAGTGGCATTTTTCCTAATGAATCACCTATTTGGGGCGCTACTTTTTTTCTTGTTCATTATAATGTATAATCACCATGATTGATATTTCAGGATATCAGGAACATATTAAGAGGCATTTTTTCATTAGGTGGCATCATCAATCAAAGATTTGATAAGCTACTTTCTTTTTTGTTCACTATAATGTATAGCCACTTTGATTGATATTTCAGGATATCAGGAACATATTAAGTGGCATTATTGACTGGCAATTTTTCTAATGAACCAAAGATTTGATAAGCTACTTTCTTTCTTGTCTTGTCACTTTGATTGATAGTTCAGGAACATATTAAGTGGCATTTTTTCATTAGGTATCATCATCAAGTGGCATTATTGATCGACGTTTTTCTTAATGAATCAAAGATTCGATAAGCTACTGTCTAATGTATAATCACCTTGATTGATATTTCAAGATATACAGATCAACAACAACATTTTCTCCAATTTCAATTTTTTTCAAGAACATATTAAGTGGCATTTTTCCTGATGAATCACCTATTTGGTGCGCTACTTTCTTTTTTGTTCATTATAATGTATGATCACCTTCATTGATATTTCAGGATATCAGGAACATATTAAGTGGCATTTTTCATCAGGTGACAAAATCAAGTGGCATTATTGATTGGCAATTTTTCTAATGAATCAAAGATTTGATAAGCTACTTTCTTTCTTGTTCACTATAATGTATAGTCACTTTGATAGATATTTCAGGATATCAGGAACACATTAAGTGGCATTTTTTCGTTAAATGCCATCATTAGGTGGCATTATTGACTGGCAATTTTTCTAATGAATCAAAGATTTGATAAGCTACTTTCCTTCTTGTCTTGTCACTTTGATTGATATTTCAGGAACATATTAAGGGGCATTTTTCATTAGGTGGCATCATCAAGTGGCATTATTGATCGGCATTTTCCCTAATGAATCAAATATTCGATAAGCTACTGTCTAATAGTCTAATGTATAATCACCTTGATTGATATTTCAGAATAGCAAGATTAACAACAACATTTTTTATAATTTCAAGTGGCTTTTTGTTCATTATAATGTATAATCACTTTGATTGATATTTCAGGATATCAGGAACATAACAAGTGGCATTTTTTCATTAAATGGCATCATTAAGTGGCATTATTGATTGGCATTTTTCTTAATGAATCATAAATTTGATAAACTACTCTCTAATGTATAATTATTTTGATTGACATTTCAGGATATCAAGATCAACAACTACATTTTTTCCAATATTATTAACTAGCATCCAGCACTACATTTTTTCATTCATATTTTCAAAATGTTTACAGAAATTTGAACTTGATTTTGAAAAAGCCAATGATTTGTCCTCTGTAATGGCCTCGCATTCAGAATTCATAAACGCAGTTCATTCAATGACGATGGACATTAAAAATTGTGGAAAAGAAGCGGATGCATTTGAAAATGTAAGTAAATATACTGTTACTCATTTATATTGAAAATATTTCAGTAATGTTTTGCATGTGTATTTATGTTGAGGCCAGTAAAAAGTCAGTAAAATTTCAGCCGTATTGGAAGCTATTGTGATTTTAAACTTTTTTTTTTTTTTCGTATGGGCATTTACCATTTCTCCAATTTTTATTCTTATTTCTGCTCTAACTGTTGAAGAGTTTGTTGGAAAGTGTTTCGTATTATTAACACTATGTCTCGAAGACTTTGTCGTATTCCTCAACTCAGTGATTTTGAGTGAGGACGAATTGTTGGCTTACGTGAGGCAGGTTTTTCAGCTAGAGAAATTTCAGAAAGAACAAATTGATCTTTGCTTACTAGTCTAAAATGTTATCAGGCATGGACCCAAGAAGGCCAAGAACACAGAGCTAGGAGCACCAGTAGTCGCAGGGGACCAACAGCACTAAAGGATCACTGATTAAGACTTTTGGCTCTTAGAGATCGGTTCATTTCTACTAGGAAGATTGCGAATCAGTGGTTTGAAGAATACAGAAAGGTTGTTTGACTGCGCACACTACAGTGTGTCTCATTTCTCATGGAAAGACCCCTCGTATCTTCCGTAATATTCGAGGTAGAACGATGAAACTCTCAGAACTGATGGAAATGCTCAAAATGCACCTACCACCTGAATGGGATTGGCCAAAGTGATATACACTGCCCGCCACTCGCAATGGAACACCCAATTTTTACGGTAAAACATATTAGGGGGCAAAATAGGCTCAAAATTCCTTCAGATTCGAGATCAGGACTACCAACTTACTACGAATACACTTTTCCGAATTTGTCTCACTTCTTATGGAAACACCCCCGTATCTCCCGTAATATTCGAGGTGGAACGATGAAACTCTCAGGACTGATGGAAATGCTCAAAATGCACCTACCACCTGAATGAGGTTGGCCAAAGTGATATACACTGTCTGCCACTCGCGATGGAACACCCCATTTTCAGGTAAAACATATTACGGCGCAAAATAGTTAGCTTCCAATACCTGAACCCCTTCATTCTATCTGGAGAGTACTCTCAGGTATGAAAGATACAGATGCTGTGAGATGCTATCATCCATCTTGAGCTTATCTGAGGAAAATGTCACAGCACCACATTCTCAGATTATCGAGATAGTGTGAAGCAGTGTATGAAAAACCAAGTCTGGTTGCTGAACATCCAAATTCTATCCCAACCAGAAGTGAGAGCTCTCGATTGATGAGCTTTGGCTGTGGACACTTTCAATCAGCACATCAAGAACTACAACATATCAAAATTTCGGCAAAATTCAAGGCAAGCCATTTCTCATAAGAAATGTGCGGGGTCCGTCATCAAAATATTGAGGAAACATTTTACCATCCGAAACAAAATCAATCTTCATACTCATTGCAACACCGAAACAACTGTTAATTTTTAAAGAAAAAATCGCACTCGGTGAACAGGTAGAATTTAAACAATTTCGTTCATGTTTTGATGTCAAAACCAAAAAAAAATCTACTTCAATTATTACGGAAGATACGGGGGTGTTTTCATGAGAAGTGAAACAAATTAGGATTTTTCAGGACTGAAATTTTTTCAGGAAAAAAGTGTAATCGTAGTAAGTTGGTAGTCCTGATCACGAATCTGAAGGAATTTTGAGCCTATTTTGCCCCCTAATATGTTTTACCGTAAAAATGGGGTGTTCCATCGCGAGTAGCGAACAGTGTATATCACTTTGGCCAACCCCATTCAGGTGGTAGGTACATTTTGAGCATTTCCATCAGTCCAGAGAGTTTCATCGTTCTACCTCGAATATTATGGAAGATACGGAGGTGTTTCCATGAGAAGTGAGACACACTGCATATCGGCGAATAAGAAGTTTCGGATTTTTTTCTCATCATCCCACTTTGGTGTTGCCACTGAGTCTCCAGCGTAGACGCAACCGAATGCACTGGCGCAAAGACAGAATAAATTGGCATCAACAGTGGAACCGCGTAGTATTCAGCGATGAATCTCTCTTTTTTTTGTTTGGGCATGCAAGATGAAAGAGCAAGAGTTCAGAGGCGTCGTGGTGAAAGACGAGATCCCTGGTTTGATTTGGAGAGGCATGGTCACCATAATGTTGGTTCAATGGTATGGGGTGCCATTGCGTATGGTAGCAAAACACCTTTAGTCTGTATGCACCGTCAGCGGCCATGGAGCTCCTTCTAGATATACCTCCTCTCCACATTTTTCTGGAGAGAGAGGCTAGATGGACTGCATACAGATTTGCGCACATTGCCGATTGCACAAATCAATTGCAGAGTGCAACAGACTGTTGGTTGACTAGATCCTCCGGGATCTAGTCCTCTTGGACTGTGAGGTTGGATAAATCCAACCTCACAAACAAGTCAAGTGGCGTTGGAAGCTCTTGAATTGGTAGCAAATTGCCAAAAACGACTCTCCACGATAGGAAGACTTAACAGATTGTGTCTGGTCTGGATTCCTGGCCATACTGGCCTGGAAGGCAATGAGGCTGCTGACTCCCTTGCCAAGGAGGGTGCTGCAAGCAGCTTCATCGGACCAGACCTATCATTGGCATCACTTTAGGCTTTGCCAAACAAAGATTGAACACCTGGATGACAAGAAGATTTATGGACTTCTGGCAGAATCTTCCAGGATTGGATCACTCCAAGGCGTTTATCCACCCTTCGAAGCTTGATACCAAACAGTTGTTGGACTACAGTAGGGATGAACTACGATGTCTAACAGGGCAACTTACTCGTCACTGTCATTTGAATCGTCATATGCGACATATGCGACATCATATGCGACATGAGAAGATTAAAACAGTTTTAATCTTCCTCTTTGAAGATGATCACTTGGTGATCGAAACACGTGTCGAGGTGTTAAAAATAACGATTTGGTGTTGAAGAGGAAGATTAAAACTTTTAATCTTCCTCTTTGAAGATGATCACTTGGTGATCGAAACACGTGTCGAGGTGTTGAAAATAACGATTTGGTGTTGGGAAAAAAATTACAGTAACTTAAAAGATTCATCTCGGCCCAAAAATGGAATTAAATCGTGAACATTTTCGTGCGATTATTTTTTACAACTTTCGACGTGGATTACCTCAGCAACAGTGCATGAATGAACTTAATTCAATTTTTGGCGATGAAACTCCATCAAGGACCAGTGTTTATCGATGGTACGGTGAATTCAATCGTGGTCGTAGTTCTCTCCAAGACGAATTTCGTGAAGGTCGTCAAAAATCAGTTGTTGTTCGGAAAACCATTGATGCTGTGCGCAAACTGATATTGCAAGATCGTCATGTGACCTATAGTGAGATTGAGACAACCTTAGGCATTAGTGGGACCAGCATACGTTCAATATTGCGTAAACATTTGAATGTTAAAAAAAATTGTTCGCGTTGGATCCCACACAATTTGTCAATCGCTCAAAAAAAGGCTTGTGTTGATCGGTCGAAGGAAATGCTCAAAAAATACGATCGCAGTGTTTCGAAACACGTCTATGACATCGTTACAGGTGATGAATCATGAATTTACGCGTATGAGCCCGAAAGCAAACAGCAGTCGACTGTATGGGTGTTTTAAGATGAGCCAAATCCAACAAAAGTTGTTGTTCGCGCATGAAGCACTTCCAAGCAAATGGTCGCCTATTTTTCCGGAAAAACTGGACTTGTCGCAACCGTACCACTAGAACAACGCAGAACACTCAATTCTGAGTGGTACACAACCATTTGTTTGCCAGTTGTCTTCCAAGAAATCAAGAAAACCAACCGCCGAAGACGGATCACTCTTCACCACGGCAATGCGAGCTCTTACACATCGGCTCAAACAACTTCATTTTTAAGCACCCACAACATCGATTTGATGAGTCATCCGCCGTATAGTCCTGACTTGGCACCGAAAGACTTCTTCTTATTCCCGCACGTAAAAAACAAACTGAGAGGTCAACGTTTTTCGATACCCGAATAAGCGGTAGCTGAATTCAGAATGCATGTTTTGGAGATACCTCAGAGTGGCAAAACTGCTTCGACAATTGGTTCAAACGCATGCAAAAGTGTATAGATCTTCATGGGGAATATTTTGAAAAACAATAAAGTGATTTTCGACGATTAATATTTGTTTTCGTTCTTTAATCCCGAAATATAAAAGCCAACCTTGTCAGTTTGGTGGGAACACAAATTCATATGAAAATTGTTAGAGTACAGTACATTACAAATTAAGGTTTCTTTGTTATGGTATCCATAATATAATGATTTGCCCTTTCCTACTATTCCATTCCAAAATTTTTTTCGATTGAAACGAAAAGAGTAATAAATGCTAGCAGTTTGATAATTTGAACAATTTTTATCTCGAATAATACAGTCACCATTGGGACGTATTCAACTTTTTACCAATTTTAGGTCAAATTAATATTCGGCATGTGTATGTAATGATTCATTTTGTTACTCCCTTGTGTTTTTGTAGACACTCTAATTAATTAAAGATAGTTACAGTTCGTTTCAAGATTAAAGTAGATCTAATATAATACGAGGGTATTCCTGGAAGTACACAGCCCAACAAAGAAAACACAAACATTTTGAAAAATTTTTATTGTAGGTCTATAACTTTCCCCAGCGACGTTTTTTACCGTTTTTATAATAAGAACTATCTTTCTTTTCAAAACAGTCATTAACCGCCGATATCACTTCTTCATCGATGGAAAATCTTTGACCACTGAGCCATTTTTTCAAGTTTGGGAACAGAAAATTATCCGAAGGGGCTGAATCTAGCGAATAGAGTGCATTGAGTAGCAAAAAACCGATCCCATAATCTTGCCTGCAGATGAAACGGTTTTCGCCTTCTTTGGAACCAGTTCTCCCTTTTAAGTCTACTGCTTCGGTTGTTCTTTTGTTTCGGGTGTGAAGTGATGGACCCATCGACACTGTTTTTGCTCGAGTGTGAGCAAACGCGGCACCCATCTTGCACACAGAATTCTCATCTCCAAATTTTCAGATAAAATCATTTATTCAAATAACTTTGGCATAAAATGCCTTCAGTTAATATTTTCATCAACCTGTTTTGCCCGAATTAAGCATTTATTTAATCAACTTTGGCATACAATGACAAAACTTAACAGTTTTATCAACCTATTGTGCCAAAATAAATCATTTATTCAAATAACTTTGGCACGAAATGCCTTCAGTTGATATTTTCATCAACCTATTGTGCCAAAATAAATCATTCATTCAAATAACTTTGGCATAAAATGCCTTCAGTTAATATTTTCATCAACCTGTTTTGCCCGAATTAAGCATTTATTTAATCAACTTTGGCATTAAATTCCAAAACTTAACAGTTTTATCAACCACTTGTGCCAAAATAAATCATTTATTCAAATAACTTTAGCATAAAATGCCTTCAGTTAATATTTTCATCTGCTTTTTTTCCTGAATTAAGCATTTATTTAATCAACGTTGGCATAATATGCCAAAACTTAGCAGTTTAATCAACCTATTGTGCCAAAATAAATCATTTATTCAAATAACTTTGGCATNCATTTTGTATTTTAGTGATCTTTCAATAACAAGGGCAATTTAAAAAAAACTTTCATTGACCAAACGGACACTAGGCCAATTACAGGACACAGTATACAATTTTGGGATGAACGTGTATCTCCTTTATGAATATTTTCAATGGTGTTGAATATTTGTTTGCTTTCTGACAGACTTGATTTAATTTATAGTACATTGCGAATAAGCAAGACTTGAACAACATATTGGTTCTCAGTGTTGGTAGGTCAAAACATCGTTCAGTTCTACCACTGATTCTTGGCACATGGAACTCTAGTTGAGACACTAGTTAATAAGTTGACAAGATTGTTTACCACTTTGTATATGAATACGCAAGAATAATAAGTTATTCTGTCTTTGAGACATAGAAAATGAAAACGCTATAACAATATATTATTGTTGTAAACTATCCCCTGAAAAAAATTACGCCGGCCGCGTTATTATTTAGTAAGTTTCATTTTTTCTAATGAATCAAATGATGAACTACTTTCTGTCTTGTTTACTATAATGTATAATCACTTTAATTCATATTTCGGGATATCAGGAACATTTTAAGTGGCATTTTTGATTAGGTTTTTCTTAATGAATCAAAGATTTGATAAGCTACTGTCTAATGTATAATCACCTTGATTGATATTTCAGGATATACAGATCAAACACAATAGTTTCTCCAATTTTAAATTTCTTCAAGAACATAATAAATGGCATTTTTTCTAATGAATCACCTATTTGGTGCGCTACTTTCTTTCTTGTTCATTATAATGTAAAATCACCTTGATTGATATTTCAGAATATCAGGAACATATCAAGTGGCATTTTTTCATTAGGTGGCATCATCAAGTGGCATTATTGACAGGCAATTTTTCTAATGAATCAAAGATTTGATAAGCTATTTTCTTTCTTGTTCACTATAATGTATAGTCACTTTGATTGATATTTCAGGATATCAGGAACATATTAAGTGGCATTTTTTCGTTAAATGGCATCATTAAGTGGCATTATTGACTGGCAATTTTTCTAATGAACCAAAGATTTGATAAGCTACTTTCTTTCTTGTCTTGTCACTTTGATATTTGAGGAACATTATTAAGCGGCATTTTTTTATTAGGTGGCATCATCAAGTGGCATTATTGATCGACGTTTTTCTTAATGAATCAAAGATTCGATAAGCTACTGTCTAATGTATAATCACCTTGATTGATATTTCGAGATATACAGATTAACAACATTTTCTCCAATTTCAAATTTTTTCAAGAACATATTAAGTGGCATATTTCCTAATGAATCACCTATTTGGTGCGCTACTTTCTTGTTCATTATAATATATGATCACCTTCATTGATATTTCAGATATTGATATTAAGTGGCATTTTTTCATTAGGTGGCATCATCAAGTGGCATTGTTGACTGGCAATTTTTCTAATGAATCAGAGATTTGATAAGCTACTTTCTTTCTTGTTCACTATAATGTATAGTCACTTTGATTGATATTGCAGGATATCGGGAACATATTAAGTGGCATTTTTTCATTAAATGGCATCATTAAGTGCCATCATTGATTGGCATTTTTCTTAATGAATCAAAGATTCGATAAGCTACTGTCTAATGTATAATCAACTTGATTGATAGGATAGCAAGGATAGCAAGATCAACAACAACATTTTTTATAATTTCAAATTTCTTCAAGAGCATATCAAGTGGCCTTTTTCCTTCAAATGACGTGTTTGCTGATGAATCAAAGATTTGATGCGCTACTTTTTTTTGTTCATTATAATGTATAATCACTTTGATTGATATTTCAGGATACTAGACATAGCAAGTGGCATTTTTTCATTAAATGACATCATTAAGTGGCATTTTTGTTAATGAATCATAGATTTGATGAACTACTCTCTAATTTATAATCACTTTGATTGACATTTCAGGATATCAAGATCAACAACTCCAATATTAAATTTCTTCGAGAATATATCAAGTGACATTTTTCATTAGGTGGAACTATTTAGTGGCATATTTTCTAATGAATCAAATGTTTGAAGAGGTGTTTTCTAACTTGTATAATATAATGTATAATCACCTTGATTGATATTTCTTGATATCAAGAATAACAACTACATTTTTTTTATTAGGTGGCATTATTAAGTGGCATTTTTTCTAATGAATCAAAGATTTGATGACCTACTTTCTGTCTTGTCTTGTATAATAGTATAATGTATAGTCACCTTGATTGATGTTTCAGGATATCTAGAATAACAACTACATTTTTTCCAATATCAAATTTCTTTGAGAACATATTGAGTGGCATTTTGAAAGAGCGGTTCACAGTGTCCGGTCTAATGGTGAAAAATATGCTGATTGAACAGTACTTTCTGGAAAAGCAGTTTCAGTTCCTGAGGCACATGTTCTTATTTTTTGATAATATGATATTTCCGTTTTACATGCGCCTTTTCAAAAAAGTAAATATTCTTGGGTTCATCAGCGTTACGGAAAATAATATTGGCATTTTTCAGACCAATTCATGCAGCAAAAATTGGGGAAACGACATTTGGTTAACGTCCCATCTCCAAGACATTATTATGGACGCCTATCCCGAATTCTATGATAAATGTGCTGTTCAAGTTGGGAAGAATTGGAGAGTTTGTTCTGATTCGTCAGAAGCATGTGATATGACAAGTTTGGTTTATGAAATTCAGTGGCCTTTGAATATCATCATTAGTCCCATACATATGGCTTTGTACAAAGAACTATTTCATTTTATCCTGAAGATAAAATGGGGACTGTATACCTTGAATCATCTTGTATTTACAGGTAGATAATTGGGAGGATAATTTCAGTTATGAGGGGAAAAATTTAATTTCCGAACTGACAGGTAATAATAGAAAAAAATGACTATTTTTTCTCATTTCTAGACTTGGAACCCAGAAAAAAAACTTGTCAGAAGGACAAACCCAAATCACACAAATCCACAATAATGAAACTGAAATTTCTTAAATTCGGTCTAACCAATCTGTTAACTAGCATCCAGCACTACATTTTTTCATTCATATTTTCAAAATGTTTACAGAAATTTGAACTTGATTTTGAAAAAGCCAATGATTTGTCCTCTGTAATGGCCTCGCATTCAGAATTCATAAACTTTCTACATTACTGCTGTACACACGGATATTATTTCTAGAAAATTCATAGAGTCTCTTTTTTAAGAAGAAATCCATCTGAAAATTTGAATTTTTATAAACGTTAAATCAATTTTTGAGAGGTATACTTCGTGTCCAGTGTTTTCACTCAAAATCCTGGTTCTAGTTTGGGATTAGGGGCGATTTTCAGTGACGCATATTCATATTAATATCTTCCATTTACTTCGTTGTGTAGTATTTATCGTAAACGATATGTGTTACATTTTTTGTTACCAATATTTGATTTTCAAATGTAGAAAGTAAAAGTGATTTCTGTGTTATCAAATACTTGAAACAAGAAGTTGCTTCAGACGATCTTTCTTTCACTTATATCTGTGGACGACTACCACATTTTTTTGGGTGATTATTTGAATATTTTGAATTTTCATCTTTTCTTGATATCCCATCCTCTATATTTTGATCTTTCGACAAAATACTTTTCTTTCTCATGAATTGAAATGCCTTTAAAAACAGTAGGCTTTTGAAAGGTTAGGAATCAAAAATTCAACCACTGATCAAAACCAATTTTTCAAAACATTATTTTTGGTGGATGATAGATGAATGAATTAGTGATTGTGAGTCTATTTCATCTATTTTCGTTTTCAGGTTACAAGCTGTGTCCGAGTTTTGAAAACCATGTGGAATAATGTTGAGAGTGCTACACCTGATAGGCTGCAAGCATATTGTAAAATTTATGAAAAATCGTTGAATATTATAAACCCCTTGATTTGCCCTGAATATCTCTTCGATTATTGAATCTAGAATGTTAGTCTATGTCAATGATAAATAAATTTAAATATACTGATTTGTATTTTTAATGTACACATACGATAGGTTGCATTTTATATTTCGGGATTTGGCAGCCCTAGTGTTGCAATCTGGCAACTGACAGCTCTATCGTGAAGTTGGACATTTTTGAGCTTTTACGTACTCTGAACGTTTTAACATACGCTCGCTATTTGTGTTGTTTACAGTAACTTAAAATATTCATTTCGGTCCAAAAATGGAATTAAATCGTGAACATTTTCGTGCGATTATTTCTTACAACTTTCGACGTGGATTAACTCAGCAACAGTGCATGGATGAACTTAATTCAATTTTTGGCGATGAAGCTCCATCAAGGACCAGTTTTTATCGATGGTATGGTGAATTCAATCGTGGTTGTACTTCACTCCAAGACGAATTTCGTGAAGGTCGTCCAAAATCAGTTGTTGTTCCGAAAACCATTAATGCTGTGCGCGAATTGATAATGCAAGAACGTCATGTGACCTATCGTGAGATTGAGACAACCTTAGGCATTAGTGGGACCAGCATACGTTCAATATTGCGAAAACATTTGTCATTCGCTCAAAAAAAGGCTCGTGTCGATTGGTCGAAGGAAATGCTCAAAAAATACGATCGCAGTGTTTCGAAACACGTCTATGACATCGTTACAGGTGATGAATCATGAATTTACGCGTATGAGCCCGAAAGCAAACAGCAGTCGACTGTATGGGTGTTTTAAGATGAGCCAAATCCAACAAAAGTTGTTGTTCGCGCATGAAGCACTTCCAAGCAAATGGTCGCCTATTTTTCCGTAAGTGATGGACCCATCGACACTGTTTTTGCTCGAGTGTGAGCAAACGCGGCACCCATCTTGCACACAGAATTCTCATCTCCAAATTTTCAGATAATATACGATGTACCGCACTAAGACTGCTAGCTCGCACACTATCAGTCAACGATGATTCAGTACCGTTTTGTGGATTTTCTTTACCGTTTCTGGGGTCGTCACCTCATTTGGTCGACCACTGCGATGCTCGTCTTTGCAGTTCGAACGGCCTCGTTTAAACTCTGCTACCCAATATTTTACTATTGTTAATGAAGAAGCAGACTCATTCAGAGTAGAATCCAGCTCAGCTTTTGTATTGGTTGGGTAGAGGTCTTTCAAATAAGAGTATTTTACCACATAACGATGACCAGTTTTCTCCATTTCCACAAATTCACCGAAAACGTTCGCCGAACAAATACTAAACAACGTAGCGTCTTCAAAATCGAAACATATGCTTTATTGATTGTGTACTTTCTAATACACTTCTGGAACTCCCTCGTACTTCACTTCGAAATGAAATTAAGTATAAAAACGCTAAGCAATACGATAATTTTGCACATAGATACAGGAAAAAAACAGGCAGTACCTATTGAAATCAAAACAAATCACCAAACAGTGCTCTTCTCAACTTGGTTGAAAATCAATTCGAATTATTTCAAGTATAGGAAGACTTGTGTGACGAGTATGTGAATTGACCACACGTTAAATCTTTGTTGTGTTCATTGCGTTTCGACTAACTTGCGTTCAGGATCACATGTAATTGTTGGAAAGCCTGTTTAATCAAACACTCCCTCGATATCTATGAATATACCCACGGTGGATTCTTTGTTATCCAATGATCTCTCGATTCTGCCAACCACATGGTGAAGGGCCGAATCAGTAGACCTTCCCGGAGTATATGCATGCTAATTTGGATGAAGTGGGTTGTGAAATAGTACTTCATCTCTGATGTACCGCTTACATAACCTCTCCATAGTTTTTAAGAAGAACGATGTAAGACTAATTGGTCGGAATGGTTGGTAAGGTGTAGTCCATCCAACCTGGCTTTGAGTCTGAATACTACTCGTACTTCTCTCTACTTACTGGGAATACACCTCAGAGCTAGAGAGGCTCTGAATATTCCAACCAGGTGCAGCATAAGAATATCCAGTCCCCATTGAAGTAGGGCTGGTCTTATACCGTCAGGTCCTGGTGACTTGAAGGGGAAAAAGCCCGACATGGCCCATTTTATCGTGTCCTCGTCAATTACTGCACTAGCAGATTGCCAGTCGTATTGTGAGGGTGTTGTTGGTACTTCCGTCCAGTTCGTCGTTCCAGGAAAGACAGAACCTGGAAAGTGAGTTTCCATAAGAATCTCAGCACTCTCTTGGAGGTTGGCGGCTTTGTCGCCATTTTCCCTCGTCAGGATGCCGATACTCTTATGGTGGTCATTTGAGAGTTCCTTCTGTAGCCTAGAAGCTAGTGGAAAGTCTTCGACTGCCTCACAGTAGGCTTCTCATTGTTTTCGTCTGCAGACTTTTTGAACTCTCTGAGGTTGGCTTGATATACACCCTAGTCCTCTTTGAGTCTTGTACGTTTTATCTTATTAAAGGTCGTTCTCGCTGTCTTCCTGAGGTGTTCCAGTTCAGGGCACCACCATGTATTGGTTGTGCCATTTGTTTGAACCATCCTCATCGGACAGGATGCCTTGTAGGCAATGTCTATTTTGCTTTGGATAGATACCGATAGATGTCTCCCAGAGACCCTCCTGGAAAGGACAGGACGGACGATAACCTAGGAGGACATCTCCTTGGGAGGATGTACAACGGGTCATATGTGGCCTAATTGCTCACCCTCCCCACTCTACAGATACAGATAGGATCTCATGTAAAAAGGTAAGACCCCTGCTTGTATTCAGCTGATACAAGAGTTTGAAGACTTCTGAAGTAGTTGATTAAAGAATGTAAACGTTCACGTCCGGATATAACTGTGTGGAAGCTATTTTCAGGGTTTTTAGCCGTGGTCTGAAGGTTTTTGTGCTTGGCGTTTCGTCCACTACTGAGGCAGACATCAAAGGCGAGTATGCAACGGTCCCAGTGCTTTAGTTGATGTTTCCGTGGAAAATGTTGAATTGTGTGCCCTCATCCTGTTTGATTACTCGAAAGTCTTTGATATCAACCACTAACTTCAACTGGCTATTTTACACTTTACAGGATTTTCAGAAACTGTCGTGGAAGTAATCAAGCAATATCTATTTCAAAGAGTTCAGCCTGTGATGTCTAATGGATTCTTGTCTCATCCTGCAAAGAGAGGTGCCCCAAAGTTCGACCGTCGGACTCCTCTTGTTTAATATCTATACCCCGCAATTTCCTAAAACATATGCGTCGTTTCTCAGTTCATTATTATGGGGGCGACATACGGATGTCGTCAACATAATGAACTGACCAACAAAAACTATCAAAGAAAGTCTAAGGTCAGCTAAAGACCCCAGAGGACTTTTACCAGCACCCGAGGTATCCATGTAGCTGCGGGTCGTTCTATATTGGAACTACGAAAAGAAGTATGGGTACTCTCTAAACACAAGAGAAATTGTCGACTCGAACAAACCGACAAATCCGCTGTAGCTGAACATGCTCTCTACAAAGAAAGCACTCACATTTCATTCAAAGATACAGTAATACTCAATAATACTCAAAATATAGAGGCAATAGAAACACATCGATAATTTCTATAGAAAAGAAGAGGCAGTGAACGTTAATAACATCTGACTACCTGTCCTCAATTGTACAAAATCAAGAGAAACCAAGTTATGCCCACCAATAATTATATAAAACTGGAGTCAAATACCAACAACAGAACAACAAATACCAACAACTAACAACATTAGGAACAACGGGAACAACAACTCCAGCACCAACTTGAACACTTTGACCGTTACCTCAAGGCCTTTGATAATGTGTGCCGCAATAGTAAACGAAACGGCAGGTATAAAAACCTGCGAGTCTAGACCAAAAATCCCGGAAAGGTAGCTTTCACACACTTTGTAGGGAGTTTGGCTGATTTGTGAATGATTCAAACGATAATAATGATAAAAACCAACCACCTCAGTTATTTATGACCTCTTTGGAGTAGACACAGAAAAATTTAGAGTCAATAAAGGAATCATATTATTTTCACAAGCAGATAAATAGATAATTAGATTCACTCTGCCAAGTTATACCACAAAGGAAATTTTCGTACTTCCATTAAGAAAAACGGATTCAATAATGGAAGTAAATTGTACGTTTTAAATTTTCAGAACGAGGTTGTAATCCACAAGACGATGCTTGCATTAAATGGACCCTTAAGATATTCCGTTAAGAGCATCAGCCTTCATTTGAAATTCAGAACATTTCTTTGTGTTCTATTTTATCAAAGCTGTTGAATATTGCAGTGCGAATCACAAAAAAAGTCATACACAGTCGTCAACATCTGGGAAAAAATTAAAGCTCTACAATTCAGAAGAATTTAAGAATGTTAATTGATAATATGAAACGAATTTTGAAGGTCTATGCACCTTCTGGCAACTATTGATAATAAAAATAATCTTTATTGAAACTTGATTCGTCTTCGCACAAAAAATAGAAACATGATTAATAGAAAGCATAAAATGTTACAGACATTGAAAAGATATATCAACGATAGATAAAGACCTGAAATATCAAATCTTCGATTCATTAAGAAAAATGCCAATCAATAATGCCACTCAATGATGCCACTTAACGAAAATGGGTGGAAAAGTGCATTTGATGTATCAGAAAAATTAGCTGACAAGTAGTTGTCTAGATAGTAGATTCTGAAGGCCGATGATAGAGTTTTCCCATCGAATTTTGATAGAAGAAGAACTGAATATTATTATTAGCGACTGAGGAAGGATGCTATTTAGTTTAACGGCAGGTTATGGAGGTCAAAAAAAATGTAGCCAGTATTCAACAAAATATATTTCCAACCTGGAAAATAGGATACCTTCAAAATTGAATTTCTACATTGGCCGACTCGTCTGAAGGTACTCGAGGGCCAGAGAACTTTATGTGTTTT